TTAAATTAGTTTAACTTCATTATTTTTCACATGGACTTGAATATGTGGTAGGAGGGGAAAGGTGGTCTCTTAAATATGCATTTGAAACACTTCTGTAATATTATTCAAGATGGCGGCGAGATGGACGTCTCTGTATAGTCGCTCCACCTGATATTGAGGATTTTCCTACTTTTACGACAAAAGTGCTATCTAAAACGTACCCAAACCATTAGTAACGTCATTGTTACCTTATTGTATGTGCTTTGGGGCATAATATTTCTATCTACGATCCAAAAAGCCTAAATTTGGACTGAGCAACAGAATCGCGTCTCGAGAACAAAGGACCCAGACCAAGCCGACCCAAGCCGTCGGACCCAAGCGGACAAAATGGCGAAAGAAGATCGCGGCTCCTGCTCTCCTGGCAAGTTATACGGACTGCTAGGTATCACGACTGACGCTACTGAAGCTGAGATTACGGTGGCCTACAAGGAAGCAGTGAAGAAGTATGACAAAGCCCTGAATACGACGAAGGACAAGGACAAGCGGCTGCTAACACAGGCCCGCCAGCACTTTTCGGAGGTGAGCAAAGCATTCTACGTCCTCTCAAACGCAGATCGTCGACAGCATTACGACAACTCAAATGTAATCGTTGAACCGACTAAGCGAGACAAGAAGGCAAAGCCAACCGATGACTACTTTGTGCAGTACAATGAGAATAGCGTCACTATACATATCCCGGCTGGATCGCACGAACACTGGGTAGACAACATCGAATCTCACTACAACACTTCTACCAACAACAAGGGTAGGCATGGCAATCAGCTGACTGTCCCTTTCTTTGATCATGATACCACCAAAGCAGACCCGATCGGCTCAGTAACCTTACATGTATACCAGACAAGCAAGATACTTGTACAAGGCTCAGCATGCTTCCTATGGGTGTTGTATACCTTTGAAGAACTAAAAAGTCAGCTATCAAAATGCCTTGACGACGAAGTTGGATGCGAAGACATCATGTGTCACAAATGCGACCGTCCAGGGCCAGAAGACAGTGGCGTTATCCAGTGTAACAACTGCCAGGAATGGTTCCACTACTCCTGTACCGGCCTACACGAATTCTTCCTCCGGCAACTGATCAAAGACGAAGAAAGTGAATTCACTTGTGCTGAATGCATCATCAAATATCCATGTGAAAATGCAGGGGTACACCAGGGGCCTGAGGTACACCAGGTACAGATTTCTACACGTGAGGAAGAAACTACCCCAAAGTCTGTAGTTGCCGATTCTGTCACAGTAGAAACAGAAAAGCCGAAAGACACTAACAACAACAACAACAAGGGAAATCGTAGATTTCAAACCTCCGGGTTTTTTCTATTGGTTTAGGTTATTTGTTTGTGTGTAGTATGAAAGTTATGTGAGTAATATGTTTGTATGCCGGTTTGATGGCTACTGACGGTACGTTGGTTCGGTATGGACTGTTGATTAACGCAGTGTTCGAAATACTTTTTTGAGCAAAGTAGCACAGTGTGCTACCTAGGGCAAAAATTAGGTAGCGCAGCAGAATCTTAGGTAGCGCCACGCCCCCCCCCCATTTGTCAAATTCTATGCACGTGTCGCAATACTATATTTCTTCCAATCATAGAGGTATAATACCTCCATGCTCTAATAAAGTTACTATTTTGAGGTTTCAACTCTGAAGTAGGAGCTCTGGGTCGAAGCCAAATTACGGGTGCGTGATTTATTCTGGTTTTCTACTGAGAAAAATCGGGACAGTATTTGCGCCGGGCAGCCGGCCATGTACGCGAAATGGTACGCCCAGTATAGCAGCGATCTATTCATGTTTTATGTTTACAATTGTGCAAATTTTTTTTACAGAAATTTGATCACATATGCTTAAAAATATTGTTATACTGATGTTAAAAAATATTTTAAGACACTGAATCGCTGGCTGTGATGTGCAGCAGTGTACGTACGCCGCGTAGCGTGCCAGACATTGGCCATGCCCCACTCGCGACATAAATTTCTGAGGCTTATCGTGCGCATCATGCGTATCCACAATTATTCCCATCGTAAACATAGTCACTGGGATCTGAAATGCATACATACAGGATAATTTCCCTTCTTCAGCGGGAGTTTTGTTTATGTTTTGATCGTACACGTCAAACTGCCACGCTGGTCTACGCTGCGCGCTGGTCTCGGCTGCACTTCCGGGTTACCATAAATCGACACCATAAATCGACAAAGAAACAAATATTTCCCCCCAAATTTATATTAATTGTGCACTTTTTCACTAGATGTGGCTATGCAGTCATGGAAAACAGCGTTTAGTGCATATTTTCAAACAGAAAAATCGCGTCCCCGCGCCCTTCATGTTGCCGCCCGGCGATCTCAGCTGAAGCGAACAACCAATCAGAGACGCGTAACGCGGATACGTCATGCAAGATTTGCATACCGCCCGCCCACCGCTTCTGCTGGCTGCTGCCATGCTAGCTACGCTCCGTACTTGAAATGAATTGACGTGTATCGCCGTATTTCTGGAAATAAATGCCGCGACACGAAGATCTAGCGCTGACTCGGCTTGCACCCAGCGTTCAGCGTCACCCGCGCCATTATCCCCGCCGTCATCCCGCGCCGTCATTGCTGCGCCGTCACCCAACGTTTTTATCGGAACCAGACACCCCTCTGTTTGACCCCTTTTAAATGGTAAGACCCAAAACTAAAACCTCCCCATTCCTTAACAACATGGTAAATTCCATTTTCAGCATAA